AGGAAGCAAATTATCTAATCTGGTTATACTTCCCTACAAGGTCTCTAAGATGCCTCTCCTCCTTGGCTGTTTTCTGAGGAATGCAAGATGTCTGTGATGTGCATCGTCTTGCTTGCTCTGTCTCTCATGCACGCAGCTCTGGAAGCCATTGACTGCTTTCAACTGAATTTGACAAACAGATGTTTTGAGTTGTTCAGTTTCTACAAACTCTTTCAGCAGAGGTAAATTCAGTTCTTTTTAGATGCTGGCTAATCCACGGGGAAGTTAGACAGTTAAATGCCATCCAGATGCCCAGGGAATTGCTTCCATAAGTTTTAGCTTGTATCAAAAGAGGTTTTTCTAGACTCCCGAAAAAATGTTTGCTGGTTGTTTAACACAGAAATGAACCATGTTATACCACCTCTAAGCCCCTGTTCTTCAGGTAGGTCCACTAATGCTAACACAGTGACAATAGATGCCAGCAGCATTGACTGGCGCCAGTGAACAGGTGAAAGAGTTGTCAGTGCATCTATACTCTCCAATCTGTGTTCTTTGCTATGATCCATTAAAATAAATGTGCAGGCTGACTGTTTCCACCTCTGTTTCTTCTCTTGTGATCTTCGGTGTAACACCCCAAACATTTATTAACCACTTTACAGGCTGCAGGCTTTGTCTTCGCGTACACTTGATTTAAACTTATGCATGCAAATCCATTGTCACCTCCTTTGGTGAGGACATGGATGCAGAGAAAGAGGCATGGGAGCTCAGTGCCAGCACGGTAGAAAGTAAACAAGATCCTGGGAGAGAGGAGAAAAAAGAAGACTTTGGAAGTCTTCTTTGTTCACTTTGAAATGAAAGAGATAGAACCAATGCCATTGATAGCAGTAAGGGCTCCCGGCTTGGGCCACAGAAAGCAGGTGATATCATTTATCACAGGGGAGCCAGGGGCAACTACAGTTCCAATGCACCCAGAGAGGATCACTGCTGCCAGAAGCATCTCATCATATGAGCTGCTCTGTTTCCATGATAGCCTCCATTTTTACCTTAGTCATATTTAGGGATTTCAGCACATCTGGGCATAACATTTGTTTCCAAAGCTACTTCTCTCTCTCATCTTAGATGTCACAAGAGTGACTGAGGAAATTCAGCCAAAACGGAGGAAATCACTAGCGGAGCGGGGTGGTAGGAGGGAGAGAGGGAATGTTACCACTGCATTTAGGTATGTAGTATGTCTTTCCTCTCAAGGGATAATAAACCTTTCCATCAGCATTTTTAAATAAATCTAGTGCTGGCATAAATAAAACTGATTGAAAAGCATGAGTCTGCTCTAGGATCTTAATCCCCAGAGTGAGGTACAGTGCAGGTTTATAGCTTTCTCCCTTGGCCCCTCCAGTTTATCTCTAGCTTAATCCTGGAAGAATTTTCCCAGATGGGGAAGTAAATTTGGTGTAGGTCCATTTAGCTGCCCATTCAGCACAGAAAGTAGATAAATGATATATTTGTAAACATAGGAATATTCCCATTTCAGAAAGACTTCATTTAAGACTTAATTTGACTTCATTGCAATGTAAATTTGCACAAAATATAGCTTATGTGCAAGTGCTCTCTTGAATTGGGGCCTCTTTTTTTTCTTTGGAAGGCGCTTTAGATTACATCTTCATTATTTGGATATTTTTCTACTTTAAATCCTTCTGTATGATAGTTGGTCAAAAAAAATGGAGGAAACGTGTGTCAAAAAAGTGAAAATCTGTTCAACCTACTCCCATTAAAACTCTGATGGTTCAGATCGTATTCAGTATGTTATTTTAGAAGCAGCTAGTTCCAAAAAATAATATTGTTAGTTTATTTAAAAATAAAATAGTTTTTTAGATTCTGATTCATTTCTTCATTGCTTTTATTAGCCTTATGCTTTCTGAGACTGCAGGGTATATATTTCCAGCTCTTTTCTCCAGAGACACTAAAGGTAGAAGCATTCTTTTTTAAAT